CCCTGTCTGCTCTGATCCAGCCAGCCTCATCACGTTTTTGAGCATTTTTAAATCTGTTTCCGATTTTCTAAATAAAAACCAGATACAGTTTAGGGACATATAATTTGGTGTATAAAGAGGAACGACCTTGTTTTCTCTGAGCCTTAATACCACTACTATGAAAGGACAGGAAGCACATTCTTTCTTACTTTTACAAACATATTGGGATTCGGTCCAAATTGGAATTGGCGGTTCCGGCCACAAAGACGACCGGAAATCGTTATTGGCCAGGAAACATGTGATCGCTGCATCCCTTCACTAATTAGGTTATCTTTTATCTCAGTTTGTTGCAGCTATGGACAGCTCTTTACAATATTCAGACAAGACAGAGCAAAGTTACAGTTGCTCTGATGTCTGATTAAAGTACTTTTAAACTTAGTGAAATATTTTTCAAAAACATTTCATCGATTGGGTCTCTTCTTGCATCCTTTGCAGGTTGGGTAGACTAAGCAGAGACTTCTCTGAAATGGAACCAAAGTGAGAAGTTTTTCAGGACGGCCTCTACCTAGAAATACCGGCCAATATAGTAAACATGGAAAGTGTTTGTTTTGTTTTTTTTTCTTTGCCCTCTTCTCCGTGAGCATCCCCGTCGCCTTCACAGTAAAACCTCACAGACAGAGGACAAAGACCCTCCAAGAGCGGACCCAAGGACAGACTGGAGACCTGACATGCACTTGTTCATTTTTTTTTTTTTTTTCTCTGACTCATGCTTAGTCGCTCAGCACCACACAGTGAAACTTCAGTCCCGATGCCAGGTTCTGTCACTGGGCAGAGCAGCGAGTTGGCTACGGTGAAACCATGACGTGATGCCCCCACAACCCCCCCACCGTCCCTCCGTGCTCCCCCGGCCTGTGCAGCAACAAGAGGGGTAAAAATATCCCGCCAGTGGGTTCAGACGACCAGCTCATAAATTAACACTAAAACTCCTGCAGACAACAGCGAGCCAGTCGTTGAGAGATTTATGCCACTCGGGTTGCCACCGGCCGCAGCTCCGGGGTCGGTTTACAAAACCCTTTTCCTAAATTTACCCATTAGGAGGTGGTGAATTAAGAACAGCGTACGGATCAATTTCCCCCTTCAAGTCGCTATCTAGCTTCACGCTAAAGCGCCGGACTATTTTGCTTCCCCCCCTCCTCTCTCAAAGTGGCATCTGGGGTGTGTTTTTCTTCTTTTTTTTTTTTTTTTCCCAGGGAAATATTACGAGGCGAGATGTGGGGCTATTAGGCCTAAACTGGGATTTGTGTGTAACTGAGTGGTCCGTTCTTAATTTTCTCAACTTGCAGGAAAATAAATAAATAAATAAACTATAGGTTCGGGCACGGCTATTCACCCATGCGTCTTATTAAGGAGTGTCTGTAACGAAGAGTCATTTCTCAAGCAGACATGCGACGTTCCAGCGAACCGCTCGACTAGGTCTTAAAAAATACACACAAACACAAAAAAAAGAGGGGAAAAAGAAAAAGAAGAAAAAAAAAACAACAGGAGAGAAGAGTGATGATCCCCCTCCCCTCTAAAGAAACTCAACTCTGTAATGGACAGAGAGGGATTACAGACGTTAAAACCTCCTCCATCTGTAATTCACTGTCACCCTGCCATCATCTCTGAATCACTGATCCACTCTGCAAGTGTGCAAGACCTTGCTAAAAGCCTCACAGTTGCACCCATTTGTGTTTGTAGTGGTGGTTGGTGGAGGGGGAGAAGAAGAAGGAAAAAAAAAATCATACAGAGACAACTTAACAGCTTACTGTGCTGTTTCAAAGCACTCTCTGTCCTCTAACAACCACCTAGCTCGTTTTCCCACACAGGGAATGGGACATACTGATCAAATAAGATTTTAATGAACATCAGCATTTGGAGCGAGGAACAGACGCCACGACTGCTTAAAGCTACCGACATCCCGGCTGGGGTTGGAGTTTCATCTTCAAATAGGGAAAACAAGAAAGAAAACATTCCTGAAAGGAAAAGCAGGCGACGAGCACGTGTTGTGTCTGTGTCTGTGTGTGTTTGTGTGCGGTCCCGTCTCGTCCGTCGGAAAAGGGTTAGGAGTCGACCGGGCTGACGAGGCCGTGCGTTGGTTCTGATCATATCATGCCAGCCACATATTAGCCTTAAAAATAATAAGAAAAAACGGGGGGGAAAATAAGGAGGGGATAAGAAGAAAAGGTTGTTCTCTGAAGGCTTTCCTCTAGGAGCCTCACAGTGGGAGGGAGAGTAAATAAGATGTCATCAATAATAGAAAGTGAATGTTCTGAGCGGTTCTGCACGCTCACACATACACACACACACTCGCACACGGCGCACCAGCTCCGGCTGATTCCTATCCTGCAGACAGGCCTGCCAACCGCCAGCCCTTTTTTTTTTTTTTTTTGCACACGCTCAGATTCACTGTCCTGACTAATCGCTTGTGATAGGGGCCTTTGCCATAATTACCCAGGGCTTTATCGCAAACTTATGCGATGCATTTTTTATGTCCTGGCTGCTGGCAGTGCCTCCACTGTCCGTGCTGGCTGTCAATCTATGAAAAAAGCAAAAAAAAAAAAACAAAAAAAAAAAACATAAAAACAACGGATCCCAGACCAGCTCTCTCAAACACACGCATATAGTAGTTCAGGCAGGGCAAAATAGGTGAGAGCAGGGTGAAGGGCCAGAAAGAGGAGAAAAAAATGGAGGAGAAAAAAAAAAGGAAGGGAGGGAGGGGGAGGAGAGGAAGTCAAGGATGTTGGGAGGGGGAGGAGGGGTGATGCACGGCGGAGATGCAATGATCAGCCTTTTCCTAGTCGTCTGACTAGTCGGCTGCGATGGTGGCCGATTCCGACCTTTTCACCACGACGATAAAAACAGAAAACGTGCTGCAGGTTCTCTGACAGGCCGTACCTTTAAAATCAGAGAGAATTATTATTTTTTATTTAAAAGGAAGATTGCCCACATTTGTGCCTCAAAGAACTTCCCACTTGGTTGTGCATTTACAGATCAAAGTAAAAAGTTGAGTTTTTTGTTTTGTTTGGGAGATTCAAAGCATTTGAATGAAAAAAAAAAATCTTTTCAGTAGAAATTGGGCTATTAAAAGCCTTGGACGACTATTTGGTGCAAGTCTTCAATTTATCAATAAAGTAACTAGTTTTTCTTTCCTGCATTGTGTAAATCCGCACTGTGGAGAACGGCAGAAAGTTGATAAGACACGCGTTTCGAGAAGGAGTTTGTGAAACTAGGCAAGGACAAGCGAATGTTATCTTCAAGAAAGTTAGGCAGTACTTTTGAAATCCGAACAAAAAAAGAATTACAAGGTTACCATGATGTAAGCATGAAAGCATAAAGTCTAAGTCAACTCAACTGCTTAACAAAAATAAACAAAATTTCAAGTTTAACAGATTCAATGTACACCAAACGAATCCTTCAAAATAAAGCATTTGCTCATGAAAAAAAAGAACACAATTTCTATGCTTACTTAACAAATAGGTCTTTTAAGATCAAGACAAACATGAAAAATAAAATATATAGACTAATTAACTGTACATTAAATTATTATACATCAGTAAGAGATTCTTGGGTGGTGTGTGGGGGGGGCTTCAAAGAAGGGGTTTACCCAGGGAGTCTTTCATGCAAGGACCGCCACTGTGCCAAATAGATAGATAGTGAGGAAAGACAAGAGAAAGCTGTCTGAGTTTTTTTTTTCTCCTCTTTTTTTTTTTTTTTACATAATGCATGAACAAGGGGGCAACGAGTAGGAGGACCAAATAGGATCAAATAAATAGGAGAAGTGAAGCCTTGATGATGTGGCATAAGTGTAACACAAAGCCCGCTGGGAAGACTTGCTCACTGTCCTTTTGTCTACCCAGTCATCAGGGCATCATGACCCAAATAAAAGTTTAAAAACCCAAAGCTTGTGCAGCCTTCAAAATAATGTATGAACAATCGGGGCTACAGTCTACATAATGCAATCTTTATGTTAATGACGACGGACGAGCGGGCAACTAATATTCATAAATGATGATTTGAAATTCAGCAACGCGTGTTAAATGCCACGGGAAAAAAAACACAACAGTGCCATTGTCTCGCGCGTCTTGTGATAGGTCAAACATGGTCTAATATATTCAGGCCCAATATGTTTTTTTTACTCCCCCCTTCATATCCCCTGCGTGGAGCGCACAGGGTGTTAAGAGGATGAGGGAGGTACATTTTAAGGAGTTTACCATAATTACAAGGTCAATCTGTCACATTTCTAACATTCGCGTTCTTAACTGTCCCGTCCTGTCCACTTCCACAGACGGGGAAATGTTTTTTTAAAAAAAAAAAAAAAAAAAACTCACTGGGAAGTGTGAATGCCGACAGAAGAGGGGAAAAAACGGCCGAGCTCATCAAGCATAATCACCGAAACGACTTCCATATAAACTGTTCCAAAACCGTTAGCCGATAAGGTTGCTAAACGGGTCCGAAACTTACTAAAAATGTGTCAGCAAAACAGCATAAAAAGCCCAAAGAGCTCCTGTGGGTCTCAACGGTTGGTGTCACTACAGCGCCACCGTATAATGAGTCGCACTTATTTTTTTCTTCCCCCAAATTATCCAACCTTACAGCGGCTAAAGCGTCGCGGCTAACTACGGCTACTACTCGCTCCGGTAAAAGTTGAACAACACGCAATAAAGATAGCCAGCCGAGAGCTTCTTCTCCTTTCCCCAACGCCAAAGCCCCGCCGTTTGGCTTTTATTTCGGCGCATCCCCCCGCGGCGTCGCCCCGGCTTGCCCCGTTGCAGTGTCCGATCGATGTTGAATTGAACAAAGAGGATCAATTTCTGATCAGCGAGAGAGCCACTTTCATCAATGTGAGGAAGAGGTCCTGGATTCTCTTCCGAAACAGCCTACGAGGCGCCGCCGAAATAAAAACATAAAACGCAGTCCCCGGAGAGCGGCAAAGCGGCCGAAGAAGACGAGGGCTAGGCGGTTAAAAGGGAGGTTGAACTGACCTGTAGTTGTTGTAAGTCAAAGCGCTTCCAATATTGAAACATCGATCCTGCATTGGCCGCCATCTTGAGACATATTGAGACAGGAATGAGATGCTGATAGAGAGCGCGGGGGTTGGAGTTCAGTGGCGAGGACTGGGCTGCCGGAAGACCCGGACTGGATCGCAACCGCCACTTGCTCCGGAGACAGCTGCTATGTGGAGCGGACTCAGCTCATAGGAATGTCTCCTTAATAACGCCATTATAATTGCTTAAATAGCATTTTATTAACATTGAGAAATTACAGGTAAACAACCAAACTGACGCTTAATTACAGTGACTTTTGTTAAACTGAAATAAAAATGCGCAGGAATAAGTTTTGATGTTTTCATTTGCTTATCATTAGTATCTTCCAAAGTTCAAGTTCATGTCCCTTGAACTTTGTTACACATTGTCACCTTACAACAAGTTTCAATGTTTTTACTGATATCTATCTGGTAGGCCATGTCTAAGTGATGCATGAATGTGAAATAGAAGGAAAGTGATACATTATTTTCAAAATGTAGCTAGTTTTAATTCATAATCTCTAAATGCAACATCAAAAAATGTTTAAGGGGTGGGGGGGTGGGGGCTATGATTTAAGCATTTTAAGCCATCTAAAAGAAAGTGTAGCTCAAAGTGCCATAAGTGTACACACCAATGCCATCTGGCTTCTGAAATTTAAGCAATATTGCATATTCTATTAATGCTTTATTTTGTTTTCTATAGGCAAATTGTTTTTTCTTTGTCATTGTAAATATTAACATTCACATTATTGGATATAAAATGCACAAATGAGGACAATTAAAAGGAACCAGTAATGAAGTTTGTGGTGAGCAGTAGTTTTGGAAGATCCTACAATCAAATTCTGTTTAGGCTCCTACACATTCCACACTTTAATACTCTACATAGAATACTAACTGGGCATTTAGTTTATACTTGTAACACAAAGCGCATGTATGTTTTTACCTTTTAGGGTTATTTATATCTAACGTTGTTTTGCTCATTTTTATTACAGGTATTTTTGGAGATCATTTCACTTAACAGCTCTTTGCCTTTATTGTCTCTTAATGGCCGTATGGCTTTTCTTTATGGTCCTTTTGTGCCTCCGTTTTACACGTTTACATCTCTTTATAGTCATTTTAGTCTCTTCATTAATGACTTTTTCCAGTCAGTCTGATTGTAGTTGTCTTTGCGTCTTCCTGGGATAATTGTTTCCCCATATCCTGCCACATCACATTCGTAAAGTTCAACGTATTTTTATCGGGATTGTACTGTATAGACACACGGCTGTGAAGTGGAAGGAAAATGACACATGATACGTTATTTCTCACAAGTATCTCTGTCCTTCCACTTCACAGTTATATTCCACTACGTGTTGGTCTATCACAAATAATTATAAAATAATAATGAAAAAAAAAATTATAGTTTGTGGTTGTAGTGTGACGTAATGTGTAAAAGTGCATGGAGTTAAAATACTTTTAAACGGTTGATCCAAATAGATTTGAAAATCCTCACTATGAATGGACCAGAAAGACACCCACGCATAAAACAGATACATTAATCAAGCAATCCAACGGGAGGGAGAACTGAGAAAGCAATTGTAGTTTAGTCAGGAAACACCAAAGATAAATGTATGTACAGAGATGGAAAGTATTAACAGCACTTCACTTTTTCCACGTTTTGTCACGTTACAGCCTTATTCCAACTTGTACTAAATTAACTGCCTTCCTCAAGATGCTATCCTCAAATAGCTCATTATGACAACTTAGAAAACATTTTTTTTAAGTTTTGCAATTTATTGAAAATGAAAACATTATAAAAAGAACACAAGTGAAATAAGTATTAACACAAGTATTAACACAAGTATTCACAGCCTTTGCCGAATACTTTGTTGTCGGAGCTCAAATTGAGCCGTTTCCATTTATCATATTTGAAATGTTGCCAGAGCTTAAATGGAGTCCACCTGTGGTAAATTCAGTTGTTTGGATTTGACTCGAACACACCGGTCCATATAAAGTCCCACAGTTGACAGCAGGTCAAGAGGTCAAACACCAAGCATAAAATCAATGTATTTGTTTGTAGACCTCAGACATAAAGTTGTCTTGAGGTAGAAATCTGGGGAAGGATCCAGAAAAAGTTCAGCTGCCTTGAAGGTCCCAGTGAGCTCCATCATTGGTGAATGAATCTTCCTAGAGCTGGCCGGCCATTTAAACTGAGCAATAAGGGGGAAAACGACCATATAGTCAGAGAGGAGACCAAGAACCCAACGGTCATGCTGTCAGAGCTCCAGAGTTCCTCTGTGAAGAGAGGAGAACCTTCCAGACGGACAGCTGTCTCTGCAGCAGTCAGCCCTGTATGGTGGAGTGGTCAGATGAAGGCTGCTCCTTAATAACAGGAACATGGCAACCCGTCTGGAGTTTACCAAAAGGGACGTGATGGACTTTCAGACCATGAGAAACAAAACTCTCCGGTCTGATGAGACAAAGATTGAACTCTTTGGTGGGAAAATGCCAGATGAAACTCCACCATCCCTACAGTGAAGCATGGTGGTGTTAGCATCATGCTGTGGGGGTGTTTTGCAGCCGCAGAAGCTGGTAGACCAATCAGGATAGAGGGAAAGATAAATACAGATAAATAATATCCAGAGGCGGTCTAGATGAAAACAGCCTGTAGAGCATCTTGACCTCAGACTGGATGGTTCAGTTGTTCATTCTTCAGCAGGACAACGATCCAAAGCGCACGGCCAAGACCGCAGAGACGGTTACTGCCAAAGGTGGATCAACACAACATTGAAAACAGTCTGCGCATACTTATGTGAATGTGAAATTTTGGTTTTCTATTCCAAATAAATTTGCAGAAACACTCAAAAACTTGTGTCCACCTTGTCACAATGAGATATTTGTGAGTAGAATTTTGAGGGAAGAGATTGGTTTACTACATTTTGGAATAAGGCTGTAGCACAACAAAATGTGGGAAAAGTAATGAAAACGTTTTGTTTTATACATACATATTTTTCATTAGACTCTAAAATTCTAAAAATTAGTGAAGAACAGACACATGTAGCCTATAAGAATCAAATAGTGCTCACATAATCTAATTTAATAACTCATAGAAAATAAACAATCATAAAGGGGATGGTGAGGAAAGTGTTTTAAATAAACGAGAAAAATACATTACTGATTATTTTTTGCTAATATGGTTAGCTTCTCAAATAAGATGAAACATAGCAATGAATTATTATTAACCGCACTCAAGTAAAACTGAACCAGTGTCTTTATTAGCATTGTCAAAACATCCAACTAAACAATTAAACGTTGCAACTCATTAAAGTGTGTTCTCTTGAATAAGAAGTAGTGCACATGAGGGACAAGAAGGCGGGCTAATTCACAGCTGTTGGACTTGAACGCAACTTGAGAAATGTCGCCTTAAACATGTGATTTTCTGTGAGTACAGTAATTCAGCTAAGCCATTTAAAGCCAGGGATGCAACTACACGCATCAGTTTATCCAATAGTCTTGTTGCAGCAGGCCAGGCAGTGGTCAGACTGTCAGTGTGAATCCAGCTCCGCTGCTGAAGTGACCTTGAGCAGTGCACTGAACCCCGGCTGCCCCCATCCACACACCCCCACACCTCCACCACCGGGGGGGCGTCACTCCTGCAGACCACGTCCTCTGACCCTGTCAGCGTGTCGACGAGCCCAAGAGAAATATGTAAAGAATCTAATTACACTGTATGCATAGTTTGCCCCGGATTCCTGCGTCAAACTGTTCTGCCTAATTCACCTTTAAAACATAAAAAAAAAAAAAAAAAACACAGCACCACCAGCAGCAGCAGCAGCCGAGCCCGAGCTGAGCCGCTCCAGGTTTATCAAGGTGACACATCTGCTGCACACATTGTTTTCATTTTTAGCACTCTGTGGCTTCCCAAATTTAAACTTCCACGGCGCATGTGTGTCTGCGAGTGTGTCAGGGCCTGCAGTGTGGAAAATCCACGCCCGTGTTCACACTTTTTTTATTTATTTATTTATATATATATACATATAAGGCCAAGAGCGTTCACCAAAAATATTTCATAGCTTTATTTTTTCTCCAATTTCTTCACAGCCGCTGCACTTTAATTGTATTCACCCAAAAATAACAGGAAAATTTGCCATAGATAATAACACCTCTTTTGCCGCATGTGTGCGGACACAAAGGTGGGCATTCTTGTGCCTGGAACTACCTCGCCTTTCAGGCCATTACTTGATTTGATTTGAAGCTGTTTGTGTCTCCTCCCTGGAGCATGAATAAGGCTCCGTTCATTCTGATATGCAACCTAAATAGCTGTGCCTTATTTCATACTTCATTTATGGGTATAATGCAGTGATTTAAAAGGCCCACTGCGGGTTTTCTCGTCATCAACGGCAGCCGGTCACATGCGTTTTATAAAACACATTGGATTACCACCGCGGGCCGCATGAAAAACAGATGCATACGTGTTGATTTAATCATTAAGACGTAATGGCAGCGGCGTGATTTACAACGTGCGCCCAATTCCTCCTCGTATATACTTTCTATAATTCATCCGCACAAAGACTGCTGATCCTTTAGTTGCATATGAGCTGATGATTCCACTGTTTAATCCTGTCATTTCTTTCTCTTTGTTAATCAGCGCTTCCCTGGCTTGGCCCCGGACTGGTGACGCTACCTATCATTAAGCCAAACCAGAAATACGAGTCTGAGATAATCCCTACAAGCTTAGTAGCTCTGCAATGTGTCCATTATGCTGTATTTGTATAGTTATCTGCAACCATTACACAAGGAGGCACACTGAAAGGAACGTGATACATTTTATGGCTTAGACGTGGCTTCGAATAAAACAGGGAATTAAGCACAGGATGAATTCAAAAGTTTGAGTCAACACAGACGCATGATCGTGCTTTTGGGCATGATGCAGACTAAAAGTTCAATTTTAATGTGCATGCGCGTTTTTCTTTTAAATATGTTTCGGTTGTACAAAATGCCCCCTTTGCAGGAACATGATGCAGACTAAAGGTTTTACATGCTAAAAGTTGAGTGTTGGTGTGTGTGTTTTTTGTCTTGTTTTAGTAGCACAAAATCCCCCATGTACATGCCACCGAATAAGCAAATTCAGATTTTCATTTGAAGCTCTTAAAAAAGAACAACTTTTATGCCGATGCT